CCCAGTGTCTAAAGTTATGTGTTTAGCTAATGTTTTGTAAACTGGCACTGCTAAGGTTAGTGCAAGCTAAAGTTACATTCTAGAAAGATACTATTATTTGATTGTACCACTTTAAATAATGAATGACAAAGCACAATACGATAATAAAAGTAATAATGATAATTACTCCAGCCAGGACAGGTTAGGCATTTTAGAACTCACTACTCAAAGAATTAAATTTAAGCATAAGAGAGAAATAAAATTATGAAATGCATAGACCAGTCAAAAAACTAAAACAACAGCACTTTGAAAGAATACAATTACAGAGAATAGATGTGCATTGCAGGAAGTACCAACAAGTAACAACAACAATATAAGTATGTGTTGGGGGTGAGTGTGAAAGAGACAAGTGAGCTGGGGGAGTAGATGAGAGACCCCACGCTGCTCCTTTAAGAGAGCCGCACTCGCCAGTCTGAAGGAACACTCCTTCAGACACAGCAGTAGCCGCCAGCAGCTCTGTCCCACTCTTGGTGAGCCCTATCCACCCCATGCTCTGTGGAGATGGGGTACATGGATGGAGGGGGGCAGGGGACACCCTGACAACAGTGCACCTTCTTCCCCTCCCCTCGTGCAGCAAACAGGAAGCTCCTAGGAGCAGCTGGCCAGGGGCTGCCCCAAGGCCAGGGGCAGAAGCTGTGGGGCTGTAGAAACCAGCAGAGGGAGGAGCACCCCTCCTCCAGAGGTGCCCCGGGCTTTCACCCAGTTCACCTGTGCCTAAGGCCAGCCCTGCTAGTCTTTAAACAGAAGTGAAAACAGTGTTGCCAACTCTCATGATTTTGTCATGAGTCACACAATAATTGTTTTCCTTAAAGCCCCAACTCCTGGAGTCAAGTGGATATGTGATGATTTCAGCCATCATTCTTAAAGAAATGTTTTGTAAAATGTTTTTAGCCTTGGTGGCTGTGGGGAAAGCTTCAAAATGTGACCTCAGCCCACCCTAAGGGCTCAAAAAGCAGAAGGCAGATATAAAGATTACCAAATCTATTATTTTTACATAATATCATGATTTTGGGTGAGCCTGATTCATGATTTTTGGACATTTGGGGTTGGCAATACTGTGAAAGTGACTTGAAATTTCATTCCTGTTTAAGGGCAGTTTGTAGTCTATTATTTGTAGTGAGGTAACACCCCTAGTGCCCCAGGCAGGTGCCCTAGTACAATGTTTCCAAAAATTAAACGATCTATTCAAGCCTGGTGAACAGCAAAAGAGTTATCTTGTTTTTTTTTCTACACTTGTTTCAGTCTATGTATTCAAGAGTTAGTAACAAAGTAAGAATATACATTACAATTTTAAACCTAAGGAGTGTCCCTTAAGTGACTTGACAAAGATATTCTAACATGTTTGTATCAGAGATGGGTGGGTCTAATATTTATTTTAATTTTTTCTTTATATAGGAATTAGATGCAGTGCTCCTGTCAGCTAATTTCTAAATTATCTGTAAAAAAACACCACCAACAAAAACCCAAACTAGACTTTTCAGGTGCCTCAGTAGCCCCTAGAATCAAAGTTAAAGACCCCCCCACCACACACACACAACTTAAATGGTGCCCCTAGCAAGAAAACTAAGCACTCAAGGTCTAATAACAGTCTTTTGCATGGGCCAGTTCAGGATGAATTTAGAGAATACTAAATTCCCATCCATGCGTGATGGTTTCCCTTTGCCTGGTGTGAGTACTGGAGTCCAGACCGCCCTCTTTCTGTCAGCGTGGTTGCCCCCCCGCGTCCTTTTATTTAAAGCTGGAATGTAAGGGTAAGAAGTGAGAAGATGATGATAATAAAAGAGGCAAGGAGGCGCTGCTAGGCTAGGAAGGCGAGGCAAGCGCAGCTGCAGCTCTAGCTCTAGCGCGCGCTCTCTTTCCCTGCTTCTGTCTTCGCTCCCTAAGTTCCAGGGGGATCCTGAAGCCAGGCAGCGCCCCCGGTGAAGCCCGACAGAGGCGATCCATGCTCACGGTAGGGAAAGACATCGCAACACCCTACCCCAAATATCCCGTGATTGCCTTAAAGCGCCACTACCTAATTGGGCTCCCTGCGGCATAGCTCAGGGGCGCAAAGGAAGAGGTCGAGCGAGGGGGGTACAGACTCTGGGGAGGGCAGGCAGGAATCCCGCTGCTTTGCATTAGGCGCTGCTGTGTGTGCGCGGGCGGCGGGAGGGGGTGCCTAGAGTTCATTCATAGCGAGGAGTGGACCGGCTGCCCCTCCGCCGCTTTTATCGTCTTAGGATCAACGGGAAGCAGCAGCAACAGCTGCTGCTGCAGCGTGTCAATTGCAGTTCAGCGCACCCTGGTCTTAGCGCCGGGACCAGAAACGGGAGTATAACCCCGCCAGGGCGGGACGGGCGAGTCTGCAGCCTCTTCGCCTGCCTGTCCTCCTCTGCCCTTGGCATA